AGTTTCAGGTCAAGGGGCGGATGAGTGGAATCCACAGCCTTTGGAAATTCAAAAAAAACATATTTTAGTGTGTAAATGAAAGGAACACACTACAAAACGCCTATGGGTGAATTTTTACAGTATTTCACCTACGGATCTATCACCGTTCAAAGTTTATCACACGTTCACATATGTATGATAGTTTTTGAATTTTAATAATTTTTTTACAAATCATAATTATCTGAAATTTTATAAGTATGTGTGCCTTAGTGAGATGCAGATGAATAAAATATAAACTAAATAATTTGAATGATAAAAATTATGCAAAATACCCCTATAAAGTTTCTGAGGGTAATTTTATCATGTTATTTTATGACTTAGTTTTTAATATTTTATTTTAGTGTGATTTGGTCATATGTATATGAGTCCCAAATTTTAGATAAATTTGATTAGTATAATAATTATAAAAATTCAAATACTATAGGATAATTGTGATTTTGTGATGAACTTTGAACGGTGATGAGGTGTAGGTGAAGTACTATAGAACTTTACCTATAGGTTTTTTGTAGATGCTTCCGAAATGAAATTATAGAAAAGTTAGGTGATTTTTCAAGATTTAATTTTCATGAAATTTTAATATACTTGACATTAAGCAGTTCGTATAGAGCCGACACTCTAAACAATCAAAGTAGAACGCACCTTCAAAGAATGTCGAGAAATGCGGTTTCAATACTGGAAATCTTTGTGATAGCTTTAAAATATATTTTCATCTTTAATTATAAAATTTAAAGCTTCAAAAATATTGTAGATTGACCATGTCTATGAAAACTTGAAAATATTAAAAATTGACGGTCCAAAAATGTGTTACAAGTATTTTTATATCTAATTATAAAAATTTAAATTTAAAAAATGGTTAAAATCAAGTAGATCTATAAACATATGAAAATCTTGAAAATGGACGGTGCAGATAATATGTTGTAAAATGCACTATTTCTGAGACTTAAAATGTTTTTAATTTTCATGGTCATACATCTCAATGTCGAGATGATCAATCAAAGGTTTTTAACATTAAAACTACATTTTTCGACGGATTTTTGAGGTGCATCCGTAGTTCTACATATGAGATTGCAACCTTATATAAACTTTTTCCAAACTTGAAATCCACCTTTTTCAATGTCCATACATCTTGATGTCGAGTTGATCAACTTGAGGATATTTGAGCATCAAAACAACCTCTTCTAGTGAAAATTTTGAGGTGGGCTTTAATTTGATTGTTTAAAGCCTCGACTCTATAAAAACTTTTTTTCTTTTAGTAATATCCAATATATTAAAAATTCGCTATCCCAAAATCCTTGTACCCAAACGGGTCTTAAAGGAATTTACAGGATTCCCCAATATATTTGAATATATGCAAATGATCTTGGGAAAATTTCTAAAACCCCCCCAAGATTGACTTTTTACCCACTTTACACCCCACCCAACTTTTCCTAGCAACTCCCCCAAAAAACTGTTGTTTTCTAGCTAATACCCCTTTGCACAAAAAGTTCACTTATTTTGGACCGAACTTCCCTTCCCTCACATAACAAATTATTTTTGTTAGAGAGGGCGGTCCAGCATTTTGAACAAGCGGTCCGACCATTTTTTTTTGCTGGAATGGGCGGTTCGGCATTTCATGGTGGCGGTCCAACGTTTCATGGTGGCGGTCTGGCGATTATATTTTTGTTGGAATGGGCGGTCCAGCATTTGGAAGTCACGATCGGGCATTTTGAAGTTGCGGTCTGCCATTTTGAAGGGGCAGTCCAGTATTTTGATATGGCAGTCCGAAATTTTGTAGGGGCAGTCCGATGTTTTGAAGTACGCCAGACTGAGCACTACGGCGTTGTACAAGTGCGGTCCGGCGTTTCCTTTTATTCGGATCTGAAAATGATTTGTCATGTGAAGGGAGGGTATTTTCGTCAGAAAAGATGTAACTTTTTGAGTTGGAGGTATTAGTTATAAAAGATGGTTTTTGAGAAAAATAAGTAAGTAAAGTTTAGGGTGGGGGTAGAGTGTCTAAAAAGTATATTTTTGAGGGTTTTTAGCAATTTTCCCAATGCGTGGGCATCCACTGTCTATTCGCTCTCTCCATGATAGACACAAACCCGGAATATTGCTAGGACAAGGACTTTTGAGCATGTAAACTCTTGAGCCTAGCAATTAATCTTAAAATAAATAAATAAATAAAATTCAATTGTATTCTATTAGTAAAATTTGTCAAAATATTAATAAAGGACTGTCCAATTTTGGGAAATTATAAAATATCCATGTTGCTTCAAAACTGAAAAAACCTAATGTTTTCGAAAACCTCATTCATACCAAAAATTTTTACTGTTCATATTTTGTTTGCATAAATTAGGAAGGTCATTACGGGGTCAAATAGGTCCATAATACTCATAAATCCACTTGTTAAATGTGTACTATCTTGAAGTTTTGAACTCATGGGAGCCATCGCGGTTCTACGAGAACCGTGATGCCTTTTAACTCATAGGAACCATCACGGTTCTAAGAGAGAATCATGATAGTCTTCTAACTTATTTGAACAATAAAAGTCTTAATAGAGCTATGATGGCCCTTTGATGAAGCTTTAAACCACATAGAAAACCATTATTGATATCAAACTATTAACTGTAATACTATTTATTTTTGCATCTACCCTGTAAAGCAAAAAAGCTAACTTTGTTTTAGGGAAATTATTACAAATATACCTTAATTTTCGTTTATTTAAAAGAAAAACCTTTAACTTTCATAAACCTCGCCCACACCCTTTTTCTTCAATTTTGGCGTTTTGTGACCAAAATAACACTCACGCTAATCGTATTATCATCAAGCACAATTATGATAATTAAAGTATCATAAAAACTAAAATGTTATACGGCATTTTAAGTACCGTAAAAATAACTCATGTTATACGGCATTTTAAGTACCGTAAAAATTAACCGATGTAATACGGTATTTTAAGTAACGTACAAACTAACCCAGGTTATATGGCACTCGAAATGCCGTAAACCATTTTCTACTGTTTATATTTATCTCCTTCATCTGTTTATATTTATCTCTTTCATCTCTCTATTTCTTTTTATTATGTTTATCTCTTTTTTCTCTCTCTATTTCTTTTTAATATGTATCTCTTCTTTTTCTCTCTAATTCTTTTTTATCTCTTATTTTTCTCTCTAACTCTCTTTCTCTCTCCAAGGAGATTTGTATAACAACCTGTACCATCCCTTATAAAAACTCCGTTCAACCCCATTCCCTATGAAAATTAGACGAAGTCAAATTTGTATCTTGTTGGAATCGTGTTTGTTGAGTTGATGAAAAAAGTAGAACGAGAAAGAGAGTTAGTGAGAGAAAAGATTTAGATGGAGAAATAAGAAATAAAAAAAAAAATTAGAGAAAGAAATAAGATATAAATATTAAAAAGAATTAGAGAGAGAGAAAAAAGAGATAAATATGAATAGGAGAAAAGAGTTTACGGCATTTTGAGTGCCATATAACATGAGTTAGTTTTAATGGTACTTACAATGCCATATAATATGGGTTAGTTTTTATGGTACTTAAAATGTCGTATAACATGGGTTAGTTTTTACAGTACTTAAAATGCCGTATAACATGGGTTAATTTGTACGATACTTAAAATGTCATATAACATGGATTAAGTTTTACGATACTTAATATGTCGTATAACATGGGTTAGTCTTTACTGTCCTAAAAATGTTGTATTACATGGGTTAATTTTTACGGTCCTAAAACTGTCGTATAACATGGGTTAATTCTTACCGCAATTAAAATACATTTCACGGTAATATGACTACTGTGAAGGTTATTTTGATAAAAAAAACACTCAAAATTGAATAAAGAAAAGGTGTGAGATAGGTTTATGAAAGTTGAGGGTTTTTTATTAAATAAACAAAAATTAATGTATATTTGTGATAATTTCTTTTTTTTTATTATCAAACTACCCTTATTTTAACCCACATGTTCCACTTTCCCTTTCTAAGATGGTATTAGCACAACTTAAATAAAGAACTTGGCATGGTACAAAATGTGCCGTATTAGCACAATTTCAATATAAGCCGGTCCGACGCATTTTGTGTCGGACCGGCAGATTTAAATATGAAAAGTTAATCCCCCACATTTTATATCGGATAGGAACAAGTTGGTCCCCTGCATTTTTTTGTTGAACCAAAGCATGTTGGACATCGCGTTTTGAAAACATGGGTCAAAATGGGATGGGGGTAAGTGGTCTAAAATTATTATTTTTTACTTGGGGAGATGAGGGAAATAAATAAACAATATTAAGGTTAATAATGTGACATCCGAAGTTTTAGGGGAGGAGCCGGAGGTCATAAATCGGCGATACCTATAATTTTTTTAAAAATCTAAATAAAAAAATGGGAAATTTTCATAAAGAACCCTAGTTCCTCGTATTATTTCATGGTATTCCCTCTTTCTGTTTTTCTTTCAAACGGCTTAAAAAAACCCCTAAAGATTTCACCATCCCCATCATTTTTTATCTCCCTCTTTTATTGATTTTGATTATAAAAATTGGTTTGAATAAATCTTTTTATATCATTTCAACCTAAAAACGTTTTTACTGGGTTGAAAAGAAAAAAGAAGGTTAAATTTTTTTTTGGTATGAAATGATATAAAAGATTTATTGAGACTAATTTTTATGGTCAAAATCAATAGAAGATGGAAAAAAGAGATAAGGGGTGCGGTGATCGTTAGGGATTTTCTCATACCATTTGAAAGAAAAAAAGAGAGAGGGTTTACCATAAAATAAAAAGAAGAATTAGGGTTTTATACAAAACTTTCCCGAAATAAATTTATTCTAAATATCTCTTTGGACCAGGGGGAACAAGTGATCATCATCATCCATTATTTTATTAAACGGCGGAAAACACTCGTAAGTAGTAACCATTGGGTTTCCTAATCATATGGATCATAGCATTTTCCTTGTAACCGTGGGGTTTCCTAGTCATATGGATCATAGCATTTTCCTTGACATTTCCAGCTTCATGCCTGGCGTTTTAATCTAAGGAGCAGGCATCTGTAATGGCTTTGATTTCATTTCTACCCCATTTCTGAACGGGCAGCACGAGTTGTGTATAATCCACCATGGTAATTTAGGCTTTAAACCCTTTCTTTGTTAGGTGTTTATTTTCGGACAATCTCTTGCTTCCCCATTTTGATTTTCTAGAAATTTCTACTTATTTTTGTTGCTAATTGACTTATTTATTGGTTTCTGATTCTGATTTTGTTATAAATCTAGTAAGAAATGATTCAGAAGGATCTAATGAAGTTTGGGGTTGATTTGAGTTTTTTTTGCCTTGGAAGGAATTTGACAATTTTTTTTTTGCAGCTGAAATCAAAATTGGATTTTTTTTTTGAAGCTAAATGTGATGTGATATAGTGTTTTTCCAGCTAAGATTAAAACGCGTTTTTTTTTTTCCCCCTTCTTTTTATTCAAGGAAATGGTGTTTGGTTTTACAGAATGATCGGAATGCATTTGGTTTTTGCAGATCCGTTTTATATTGCTCCAGAACAGGCAAGGGAAGACGCGTCTTGCAAAATACTATGTTCCACTTGAGGAGCCTGAGAAGCACAAAGTTGAATACGAGGTATAAATTCCAATATTTTCCTTTCTTTTCTTTTATGAATTTCTTCAGATTTCAGGACCTTTTATATCTTATTCGCTTGAGGTTCTGCAGGTTCACCGATTGGTCGTAAATAGGGACCCAAAATTCACAATTTTTGTTGTGGTCAGTAGCTCTTTGAGTTTTTACCCCCATTTTTCTTATTTGTGAATGGAGATTAATCATGTGTTTCATGCATTTCCCTTGTTTTTTTCTACCTTTGTTGAATTATTTATCTTATTATTGGATTTCTACAGTTTTTGGGATTCTAAGACAATTTTCTTGTATATGGTTATGTTTATTTTGTTTAAGAAACTTAGGCAATTACGGAAGTTATGCCCAATGGAGTTAGATCACAAGTTAACTTTCCTAGATAAATTAGCTAATTTGGAAGGAATGGTATTAGTTATGACTCAATTGTAATAGAAATAGACAGAGAAAGCTAAGAGGTTTAAGCTCATTAGCTATTTTTAGAGATTTTATGGAGTCTAGAGCTTATGGTTTCCCTATCAGTTAGATCAATTTCCATTATGGGTTGAGGCAAAAAAGATCTTATTGAGAATAAAATTTGAAAACTTTGAATAAGAACCATTAGATTTTATGCTTAATTAGAATTTTGCAACATGGATATAGAAGCTTGAAGTTTTATTCATATAAATGATCATGCTTCAAAGATTTTTGGTTACTCTTATAAACATTACAACATTACGGAGTCTAGAGCTTATGGTTTCTCTAGCACTTAGATCAATTTAATTTTTGGGTTGACACAAAAAAGATGTTTCTGAATCTGAAGAGATAAAACTTCAAAACCTTGGATAAGAATAGTCAAATTTTATTTTTGAGTAGAATTTACCTCTAGGATTCTAGAATCTCAGTCTTATTCATAGAAGTGATCACGCTTCAAAGATTTAAGTTATTCTTAAATCAAGTAGCTTCAATAATAACAAGAGTTCATTACATACTAGGGCTCATCTATGCCATTGGCAGAGTCGATATCTTTTCTCTCTTACAACCTCCCATGTTTGGGTTACCATATTGGTAGCAATGTTGCAAACTTTCTCATCTATTTGTTGCAACTTTTTGATATTTGGCATGGGTTCCAGTTTTGGGCAACTCCAAGCATTCCATGATCTAAAGCTTTTTTAATGCAAAAATTTATGGAGCATACCAGGAATCTTCTTTTGACTGGTAGATTAAACAAATTAGAAACTTGATTATTATATGTAAATCTTGTTTGTGCGCCACATTTTGGCACTGAGATCAGCCCATAGTTGATGGCATCAGGATAAAAGGTTGGAGATTGTGAAAGGCTACAAAATCCATATGGTTGGGAGCATCTTTGGATAATGCACATGTTAGGCATTTATCATCATCATCATCATCTGAGCATATGTTAGGACCCCAAATGTTAGGACCTTGATCCCACCTTTTGAAGATTTTGATCCAACTTTTTGGGATCTTGATCCCAAACTTTTGGGGATCTTGATCCTGACCTTAAAGTATATATAATCTAAAACTATATATACTCTTTAAAGTAGGTATCTCTTTATTTATAGCCAACAAACAATGCGTATGAAAAATATAACTACATTTGGTAGCTGCTTATAAACAAAGAAAATCCTTAGCTTGATCTTTATCTTGGTCTTTAAAGTGGGGATTTAGATCCCCGGTAGTGGGATCGATATCCCGAATAATCAGGATTGGGATCCTAAAATTTGAAAGTTCAAAATTCCTTGAAGATCCCTTTCCCGGAGTGCTGGAGGGAGATTCCAGAGCGGGATCTCCAGGTTGGGAGATCCAAACAGCTATGAATCAACCTGTTATGAGCATTTGCATGGTGAAGGGTGTAGCATCGCCTAGCGTTAAAGTAAGCAGGATATTTGTCCAT